GAACATACTAAAAAAGAGAAAAAACAACCACAAGATAGATCATAGACTGCGCATGCGCATAATTTATTGTTAAAAAGCGCTTATTTACAACATTTCAAATGTTTTAAAATACACAGGCTGCCTCTCCGTCTTCGTCACCGCTACTTGCTCCACGATTTGAGTTATTGATAAATTCATTGATTCATTGTCTTCACATCAATTTCCTCGACATGAAAAAATAAAATTGTCTTCGCATTTGTTCCAAATTAACGCCTGATAATGAGCTCTTATCAAAGAAGGTCTGGTTGAAGGTAAAATGCCGTGTGTTAGCTGCTCGGAAAAAAAATCCCTCCATAGAATTTCTTCAATGTCCGTTGAAGTTTTACATTCATTTCCAAGAGAGCAAGTAAAACAGAATCTTCAGCATTTTAAAAGGCCTTTCGAAATGTTTTTTTAGCTTTTTTACCCTTTTATGGGAACTTCCGGTTGTATCTTATCCGGAAATAGCTTGAAATCCTAATACTCAGTGCTGATGTTCCAAGCTTGCTAGTTATAGGTAATAAAGCAATAATTCTTGATTTCTCTCCTATTCCAGTGTGACAATAAGTTTCAGATCCAAGTTTGTAGGATTTGTGTATAGATTGTAGATTGTCGTTACATCTTGTTCCAGCCGCTCAAGCACTGCTATCTTTCCAGATATTTTGTGCGTGACTCTTCTTCTAGTTCTAGTTGATGCCCAAGATTTGTAGGCTTCTCCGACAGAACGCCAGCTTCCTGGGTGGTAAAGTGCCCACCTCTTGGGGTGTTAGCCGTACCCCTTCAAGATATTTCAGCATTTTGCATAAGTGAGCAGGGCATTCACAAATTAAATTTTCTGTAGTTTCTGGTCTGGTGCTTCTTCGCAAGATCTACTCTTTGTCTAAATTGCGCATTGTTTTTAGGTTTAGATTTCACCAGGCTGTTTTCAGTGAGCAGACCAACGACTGTTCTAATGTATCTTCTGGTCATGTCAGGAAATTGTTCATATCTCTCTGCTGAAATAGATATGAACCTCTTTGCCTGTCTCAGACCCGGAATGGATCTCCAATGAGCCAGCATTCGGTCCTTTTCCCATCTGTTCATTTCTTCGGAGGCAAGGCTTTTCATTAGTCCACAAAAAGGCTCTGGGCCTCTGGGAAAGGTTTTACAGCGCCTTGCTTTGCGAGACGGTCTGCCTGTTCGTTGCCCTCTATGCCCTGTTGTCCTGGCACCTGGCACATACATCAGGGTTACTTTGTTCCTCCCATCAAACTGGCAACAAGTTGCTTAAGGATATTTTCACCCTCCTGAAGTAGCTGATTGCTCTTAATGGGTCCCAAAGCCTTGACTGTTGGACAGTATGTAAATGTGCCCACTTAAAAGGCCTCTTTCAAGACTCTTTTGAGCACGGATGTTCATGGCCAGTACCTAGGCTTGAAATATTGTGGGTGTTTATCCCATTGCTGAGGAGTGTTTTAAGTTTGTTCCAGTTATTCCCAGACCGACTCCTTCGGTTAGCTTCGAACTATCCGTGTACCACAGTACGCTACATCGTCCGCTTGTAGTAGCTTTGCGTGCTCCCATGATTGGCGTTCTTTTACAACCACTTCATATGGAATGTCAAAGTTCAGTGATGCTATCAGTTATCATATATTCTGTTGGTTTACTTTGGCTTTCCAGCTTTATAGACTGAAGGATGCGTAAGTGACGAATGTGACGATTCAGAGATCACCAGGTTTAAATCTTTTTGCCTGTGCATCTATTCTTGCCTCCCTTTTCACATATAGGTGGAAAGGAGACATGTTCAGCAGTGCCTCTAGGGCTGCGATGGGGTGGGGCAGGTTGACATAGCCACTGTTATTTCCAGACAGATCAGCTTTTGTACTTTACGTAGACGGCCCTCTGCAGTAATTTGCACAGTCTTTGTGCATCATGCCAACGAGGCGTACCTATTGTCCTTCGATTTTAATCTGATAATCGGACGGAATGTGAGCTGGTGGCTCCCTACATTAGAACGCCAAAGGTTACGTGACTTCACGCCTGTTTTTGCCATATGAAATACCCCCTCGCTCCTCATACGGAAAGTGTCAGTTAAAAATCGACGAACAATATGTGACAATGGTTCTGACAACCATTTGGGAAATCCAATATACCATTTTTGGTCTTATCCCCCATGTTTTTTCCACGGGTTTGCGACATGTACAAGTAGCCGCCGTAGCTCGTGATATTGTTTTGTTCAGATGGTTGTTCCATGTAAGTTTGCGGTCCACAGAAACTAGTTGTGATAAAATGTCTCTTTTAAATGATGATATATTTTGTTAACAATTGCTCAACAATATTTTGCAACAAACATCGCAGTTTCGCATCGCATAGTTCCATCGTCGCGCTCTATGCTTGTCTACGCTTGTCCTGCCGCTCATAGGCGTACGCATATAATTTCCAAAATTATGTAAAATGTTAATAGTAATCATGATTTTGTATATTTTATGTCAGACATGAAATTAAAGTAGGTAATACAAATTATGACGGCGCAATAAAATGCCTTTGAAACCGCTCAAAAACTTCGTTGATCTTATTTTCCCGTACCGTACGCATCTGACACATAAGTCGGCGTTCCGACTGGACTTGGTTATTCTTTACACTACATATTTTAGTTTAAAAAAAACCGCTTGCTTACATACCAAAAAGGCACACGGGAAACCAATTTTGAACAGCTCATACCGGACTAAAACTTGAACGGTTAATTTTAGAGGAAAACCGATTTTACATTCTTATCTTAGATTTGCATAAATTATCATTTGACACCAACTTTGAATTTAACCGGAGATTAAATTTAATTGGAATTTTTATTCATGGATTAAATTCAAAGTTGGTGTCAAATGATAGTTTGTAAAAATCTAAGACAGAAGTGTAAAATCAGTTTTCCTCTAAAATTAACCGTTCAGGTATTACAGCCTGTCAAAGTAGCAAAAAGTCAATTTTCAACTGTCAATATTTCCAAAACAGTTGAACTTAGGTATAGGGTATATCACATCCCACATAACACTGAAAGAATATTCATATTCTCAGAATATTCCCTCAAAGTACTTTTTGGAATGTTCTTTTAGGAATGTTCAATGAATATTCTAAGATTGTTTCGATTGAAATATTCATTTTAGAACGTTCTATTTATGTAATAGGAATGTTGCTTCTATGCACCTACCTGAAAGATTGTGCTAAGAACCTACTTTATATAACATTATTTGAATATTCTCATACGAACATTATTATAATGTACCCTAAAAAATGTTCTTTTAGCTAATATCTCTAGCAAGTATTAAGAATATACCTACCAAGTTGTGCTGAGAAGTTTATGTAGGTAGGTAACCATGATAAGAATATTTTCATATTGTTCACCTAATTATCTAAAGTACCTACTCAAAAACCTTAATTGTACAATTAAACAATAATGCTCTATTTAGAACCTACTAAGAATATTATAGGTATATTCTTTTTCGTTTGCTTTGTATGACTTCCAAGAGAGGGAGCGACGCGCTATTAATGATCTACATCTTGCCTCGCATTTGAATCACCTTGGAACCTGTTTCTCTCAGTTGGCGTGCTTCGACGAGAGCATAACAAGCTCGAAACCGGAGCTTTGGTTAAATACTCGTGTTTTCTAGAGAAGTTTTCCAACAAATCTTTCACTGCCTTTAATATAAAAGGGCTGAAACGAGCATTATTTGGAAGCGAAAATAAACATTCCAAGTATATCCTTAGAATCAAACAAGAATGTTATGTCTAGGATGCATATTGAGAATGATATATGTAGATATATTCTAAGAATATTTCAAGCATATTGGTATAATATTCTTTTAAGAACATAACTATAATGTCATAGAAATATTCTTTGAATGTGAGAATATAGGTACGTTTCGAGCATATTTTTAGAATCAAACAGGAATATTCTTTTAAGGACGTACTGAGAATCTCATAGGTATATTCTAGGAATATCCTAATGGATTTCCAAGGAAGTTCTTGGGTATTGCAAACAGTATTTCTACAATCTTTTCTCAGAACATTCTCAGGACATTCGCAATGGTTTTGGCGAACATTCTAGGCACATTCCTCCTAAAAAAAGAACATTCTTAATACATTCTAAGGATGCAATTTTGTTATGTGGGATGAAATCTGCTCAGAATTTCCCGTAGAATCCAAATATGCAATCACATACAGGGTGTACTCATTTGAAATAAGCAAGTTGACGTCTACTTCCGGTATAACCGAAAGTTCCACCATCTTGAAAATATAGCCGGGTAGCCCCCTCTGACATTAGTATACTGTCAAATTTTCAAAAATTTTCTGCATACAGTTTTTCAGATGGATTTGGTTCCCGGCGGGACACCCTGTATAGTATGTAGAAAAAAAGTCGCTGAACAACGAAGTGGAATAAAGATCTCTTATCTTTGAAACGCAGAAGTAGATATCAAATTAATAATCCTCATTTGGAATGAATTTATAAAAAGTTTTAATTCCACTATGTCATTCACCCAAAACTTTATTTTATCAATATAGTTAGTTCATAGAAAACTAATAGGATATTTTCTACCTGACACATTATCAAAGGCAACTGCATCACCTTTCAAGATGCCTACAGATAACTTTTTTTTGACTCTTTGATAACTAACAACTGTTTTTAGGTGACGGTTCTTCCATTGAAAAAATCTTTGACGGAATAATAAGCATCCAATGGTTTCAAGATCACATGCTTAACTCCATGTTAACTGAAGCTGTTAAACATGGTCTTAACAGAGAAAGCTGCTCTTCGATGTACGAAACTTGTAAACTTAACAATGAGTCATTACATTATTTAGTTAAACCCTTCTTTGATAGTTTCAGTAGAGGATAAAATAGTGATTGGTCAAAGAACTGAGGTTCCACCAATTAAAATTAACTGCTGGATGACTGATTTCTGATTTGTTTCAGAAACCTTATGTTACATAGAATAAGTAAAACAAGTTAAATAAAAATTAAATCTATATTACAATACAATACATTTTTCATACAATCTAATTTACAAATTGCAAAAAAAAAAAGTAATCACATAAATTAGGCATCCATATTCATAAACAAAAAAAAAAGTGTAGATACAACATACAACAGAATAATTCAAGATTATTTTGTTAGACAAATTTCTGATGGATGAACAATGATGTTAATAATTATGTAAAATCCTGCACAGTTTGAAAATTGACTAAAACCGCACCAATTAATGATGTATAATGCTTACCTGAACAAAATGTGATAAGTTGAATAATAATAAAGAAAACCTCATTGTAATTTACACATTAAATAAACAATAAAGTCAAGCCTATTTTTGGGTTCCTACCCCTTTGGTTTTTTTTTTTAATGCGATTTTTACAATTTTTTTTTGGAAATACATACCAATGCAAATAAGTACACCCGTGGATCACATCCACTTATCAGCTAATCAGAAACGTATCCAAGGAGTAGGAGTAATTTTGTGCAACGAAAATTAATACTGGTAACAAACCTTTTGAAGGGCCAAAATATAAAGCAAATAACTGGCCATATTTTAGATATAAGGGGTACAAATATGGCAGGCAAAATTACAGGGCGTTTCACATCCCGTAAAATTATCAAATAAAAACTAAATCACAAAATAAAAGTTTTCAGTCTACTTTGACCACGCTGTAAATTTTCCTTATAAACCAGAAACAAGCGAAAAATCCTATCGTGCCTGTTAGTAGATTAAACAAAAACACCATTATTATTGTGTAACCGAAGTACAGAAAGGCAGAGGCGGCGTCTTCGATTTGCAATTTTGTATAAAAATAGTGGCAACAATATAAAAACAAGTAAGCTGAAGTGAAACCTGAAGTTAAGTAGGATCTCCACCACCAATGATAATCTTCAGCGCATAAATGGAAATAGCATAGCAAAACTGTCGTTTCTGCACAAGTGATTACTAAAATGATAAAAACCAGAAACAAAAACCCAAACATGTAGTACATTTGCGAGGACCAAATTGAATTAAGAATGAAAAATAGTTGAATAAATATGCAGCCAAAAGGCAACACTCCGCCCATGATGATCCCAGGAATCGGTTGAGTGTAGATGGATTGTTCTGGAATCAACCTGGGAATTTGATTGGTCCGTACAGGGTGTTCAATGGCGCGCTTTCTAAAACCTACAAACGCGCCTAAAAACGTCAGTGGCACTGAAACTAATAACCATAGGGCTAATAGGCCTACTAAGGTACTAAAAGGAATCGCTGCTGAGCTACCTTTAGCCCACAATACTAAATTCATCACGAAAAACAAGCCAAAAACTATTCCAGGAGCTAACATCGAGGTTAGCAGTACGTTTGACTTCCATTTTTCACCTCCGAAGCTTTTATAAATCCTTGCGGATATATAGCCGGCAGGTGAACCTAGTAAAACGTACAAGACCATGGCGCAAGTCATAAGGGCGCCTCTGTTGGCCGGACTGAGAAAACCTAGGCAGGCAAATGCCAAAGTTACCAGGGTCATGCAAAATACTTGAGTTCCGGAACCTAGGAGTACAGATAGCAGCATGCCTTTGCGTGGTGGTCGGAATACGTCACCATGGACTAGTTTCCAACCAAATTCCTCCTGGAAATGAAAAAAAAATATATATATATATTATGGGTTAGTGATGGATATCAAGACAATAAAACATCAATTTTTTTTACTTCACAGGTAGAAGAATGGTGTAAATTAAAAAAAATTGAGTTTTAGCTGAACTCTCGGAATCTGGAAACAAAAATTTAATGTTGGAAATGTGAAATTTTGCATACTTTTAACTTCTTTTTTAAACGGAATGGCCTATATTTGGTTCTGTATTCTTGAAGAGCACAATTTTCCGATTCCGAAAATATAATATAGTTTGCCGATATTTGATTAAACCGTCTCCAATATATTGGGTTGTCACAATTGTAAAATACCTCCTATGACAAAAACTTACGTCCTTAGATTTTGTGAACCATTCAACCTGTAAAGGTGAAAGCTAGAAGTGAAATTTGAAGATTTGAATTCGATGCTCCCCATTGGAATCTCGGAAACGGTAATGTCATGTACTGATATTTTATGTATAAGAATTGGCAACGTAGCCCTTCTCAGAAGTTATCGGTACCATACTAACCAGCTTATCGTTACTTAAATTAAGATAACTTTACTGAAAATTCTCGTTTATTATATGTAATTGTCTTCTAAACGTATACAGTTTATTATTCAAAGCTAAAGCATCACATGGTGACAGCGGTAACGCGCGCTTGGCTGTTTTCCGGATATCGGCGCGGGGGGCTTAACTGTTGAATTTCTCGGGTGGTACTCGACGGTGTTGTCGCGATCGTGTAAATCAGGATATGTGTTCGATTACATTTTGAATTGTTCAAATAACTGTTAGTGAGAGTATAAAATGCGTGATCAAACAAAGGCGCTAGAACAGCTTAGTTTTCATGGTGAAGTTGTTAAAGACTGAAAACTGCGGAAGCAAAAGTTCGAACTGCATTTGATTGCCAGTGGAAAGAACGATGAAAAAGATAACGTTAAAATCGCCATTCTTTTGAATTTGTTGAGAGATGAAGGTTTAAGGATTTACAACTCCTTTGAATTCGAAGAAGAAGAAGATGAGAAGAAATTGTCTGTCATTCTAGATAAGTTTGATAAATATTGCACTCCGATGAAAAACTTGGTTTATGAACATTTCAATTTTTTTAAACGAGAACGAAGAAACAATCGACGAATTTGTAACTGCTTTACGACAACTGACCTCTAGCTGGCTGAGTTCAAAGAAAAAGACATTAATATTAGAGATAATGTGGTTTTTGGACATAAGAGATACCCGCACACAAGAAAAACTTTTACAATACCCTAACTTGGAATTAAATGAAGCCATTTCTATTCCCCGATCCATGGAAGCAAGTGTTGCCACACAAAAAGAAATTAATAAAGACAGCTCTACATCAGCAGTTGATGCAATAAATCGATACTCCTTTAGAAGCACAAGAGGCCCAAGCAGATCACAGTCTGGACAGTCTCGTGATACAAGTACTGGCAGCAATCATTTTGGTTTTGGAAGACAAAACTATCAAGCTAGTTATAGTGAACATCGAGGAGTAGTTTGAAGTTTATCAAGGGCAATTTTCCAATCAGAATCCAGAATGTAGTGGTTTGGAAAATCGAAGTAACTCTGCAAGTTGTATGTATTGCTTTTGAGTGGTTTAAAAAACTAACTCTTCATTATAATTTGTATGAAGTGTGTATAAATTTCGAAATTGACACTAAGTAAATACTCTTAGTTTTACTGACTTCATTAGGCAAAAAATTCCAGTGACTGAACTGCATAAGTTTTTGTCTTCTTATTCTGGACATACAATCAGTGTTATTGGACAAATTAGACTGAAGTGCTATTTTCAGTTCAAGGAACTTTTATTTTTTGTTTTAGAATCGAGTGCTCCCTGTTCTATATTAGGGTTAAACGCTTTATACGATTTAGAGGTAATTCCCTCCAAAGACTGCAAAAATCGAACTTCCAGTGTAGTTTTAGTAAAAAATAGCTCTAAACATAAAATCTCCGACATGTTGTCCTTTATAAGTCTGTCTTTACTGGTATTGGGAAGATACATAAGGAATTTGGTATCTCTTGATCCGGCGATGCTATTCCTAGTGTAAGTGGTGCCCGAAAAATTCCTCTGGCCCTCCAAAATAAAGGTAAAGAAAAACTGGACAGCATGGTGGCTGATAATTTAATTACTCCACTTTAATTACTCCAGTTACAGAACCTACAGACTGGGTTCATCCTATAGTCGTGGCTCCAAAACCTAATGATGATGCATATAAGGATATGCATGTACCCAAGAAATTTAAATAAATTTATTAGCCGTGAAATTTTTGGAATTCCCACTCAGGAAGTTATTTTTGCTCAGCTGGCAGGTGCTAAGTTTATTAGTTTGATGGATGCCTCTTCCGCTTTTTTGCAACTACCTTTAAATTTTCACTATGTACAGGGTGTCCCATTGAAGATGGGAATCGGGGTTATCTGCTAAACTCGTAGAGGTAGTTTTTTTTTTAATTCCAGATTCCCGGGTCAATTTTTTATGGCGAATCGAATGCCACAAACCGCAGGTCTCTATCTTGTTTCGTTTTGGAGATACAGGGTGAAACTTGAAATGTTCACTTTTTGAGGGAAGCCATTATCTAGCGTATGAAAAAAGATATCGAAAAGGTGAAAATTGTATCTGACGCAGTTTTTTACGTGGATTTCATTGGCGTACTGGAATTTTTTTTCCGAGGTACCGTTTAAGAGATATGACACAAACTTCATCTTTTTTAAATGGGACACCCTGTAAATTTTTACATTTTCAAAATACGCATAAAATTACCTTTTCAGTGATATATAATTTGTCTATATTATTTTGTAATTTGCCAATATTATTATGGTATTTGAAACTTTCCATAAGAACCTTTGGAAATCGCATTAAATATGGATTTATTTTCTGGTTCAATGTGTGAGAAACTTAAAATTTTTTGATATGGGACACCCTGTGAAATAATAGTTTATCGAGGACCGGTTTATTCATCTTCTGATGAACTCTCAGATATGCAATATGACGGATAAAAATGCAATCTGCAATCCCATTGAAATGAATAAACCGGGCCTGAGGTCATCATACAATAGGCGATGATTCGATACCGAGTATGATATTCTCCTATTGTTTTTACTGTCGTCAATTGTGCGTTTTCTAATGGCTACATATACCAATTCTGGAGCCCCACACTCTTCGACAGTCTTGGCAAACCCAGCCTCTGGCAACATTGGTCTCTTCCTCTGTTCTCTGGCTCCTTCCTCTGCTCTCTCGCTCCTTCTCGTGTCTGCGTCGCTGTTCTTCAAAAGCTTGTGGTCCGTCGTGGACTACTCGACGCCATTAAGGCCTATCATTTGCCGTCGTCTCTCAGATGCAATGACGGATAAAAACGCAATACCTATGTATTCTCATTGGTCCACCATGTATCTGTCGACCACTAGAATTATGGAACGGTAAATTTTCCTTGCAAATAGTTTCCAGCAAAGTTTATCTGAATAAGGCCCGGTTTATTCATCATCAAATAAACTTACTAATAACTATCTGAAAGATAAATTCACTGATCTATAATCCTATCGGTTGGCGGGTAACTGACCGACCAATGGGATCCCAGATTGCGTTTTTATCCGTCAGACTGCATACCATATACCTGACAGTTTATCAGAAGATGGATAAATCGACCTTTAATCATATTTTTTTCCCATTTCAACGATATAGGTATTACACTTTATCGTTATATTTCCGCTTTAACGTCAAGAAAAAATAGTTTCTGATTGCAAGGAAAATTTGATGTTATTTTGGATTACCCGGTACAGCAGATATCATAAAAGAAATAATTAAAAATCTTAAGACGGTTTTACACTGACAATTTATTGGTCAATTTATTGATCAAGTCGCTTGTCAAGAAATATTGATAATGTAAAACGCCAAATTGGCGGCAATTTAACTTGTCCAAGTTCTCGCTCAATTTATTGACGGATTAGCGCATGTTCTATTTTTCCGTCAATTTTTGTGTCAATTCAGGCTTTCAACCTAGAAATGACTCTTTGAAAATATTAAACCTAGGTGTTGAAATTCTGGTTAAGTTGGTAGAATTGTTTATTGTCATTTCTGTTGTCAACAAGTTGATTCAGTGTAAAGCAAAGTTGAGCCATTGTTGAGCCAACATAAATTGACAAACAAATTGATCAATTTGAATTGTCAGTGTAAAACTAGCATTACTAATACTCGGAAACTTAATTTAATAGTCAGCCGGCCGAAGTGTCGAATTCCTTCCAACGTTGGACACATAGCGATTTGTGGCATCATGTAACGTGGGCTCGTGGCAAACAAGTGTCCAACGTTCACCACACTCAACTTTCGGGCCAAAGTCGAACGTTGACCACACTCAACTTTCGGGCCAAAGTCGGTAAATTTGACCCTCTTCAAAAAAAGCTTCCAATGTTGGACAGAGGTTGGAGACACTGCCACACAAGGATTGACAGTCGTCCATTTTTTAGGTAAGATTCAGTGGCGCTCTAAAAAAATTTATTTTTTCTACAAACGTCACTAAAAGTGTCATTTTTAACGGATGCTGTCAGTGTCTAAAATGCCATTTTATGACACTGGTGTTAAAAGTGATTACTTTTAGCACTAGTGCTAAAAGTAATCACTTTTAGTGCGTTTGTAGAAAAAATAGTGTATGATATTCGTGCTAAAAGTGATTTTATTTTGTTCAAAGGGATGGAACACTCCGCCTTCGGCGTCGTGTCCCAAACTTCCCTTTTCACAAAATAAAATGTCACTTTTAGCACTTATATCATAAATAACTATTCCGATGCTTGTCCTGACTCGTGCTACTTTGAAACGAAACGGCACTGACAACGATACTTCAACCGTTGTTCCAAGGTTTGTTCAAATGTGGGAAAGAATGTTTGCCTCGTCGTGTAGCGGCACATTTGCCAAATGCTAGAGTTCCAAACATTGTACCCAACGTTGGATCTAACGTTGGGACCAATGGCTGAAACATCGTGTGGCGTCGGCTTAAGGCCAGTTCATTTATCGTTAGATAAACTCACTGGCAAGGTCCTCCCTCCGCACATTTTAAGCAACTAGAAAGAAACCAAACCAATTGGCAACTCAAATCACCAACTACTTACCAACTATGAAATATGGATCACACACGACGCTACTGGAAAATCAAATCACTTCTTGATTATAGTAGCTTTGTTGTGTTTAAATTATCGTTTTAATATTATGATCAGGATATTGTTATTATCCTAGCAAAAATGTTCAATAATCCAAGTCATGAAGATATTATCACTTATCATAAAAAATAATTCGGCACAAGAAAATGAGATATTGGGTTTATCACTACATTCAAAAAATAATAAAATGCATATAGGATTTGAACTAGCCTAAAATTGAAGGATTATTCTCCAGTTTTCGCCGTTTTGCGTGCTTCTGGCTAACCAATCGGGTTATTCATAGATTGCCAGTTTATCCGTCATATATTACATTGCCTGACAGTTTATCAGAAGGTGAATAAACCGGGCATTAGACTATTAAATTCAGTAACTAAGCATAAGTGAGATATTTGATTATTTTTTATATGATATATGCTGTAGGTAGATACCGGCTAATGACATCAATTTTCTTTGCAATCAGAAACTATTTCTTCTTGACATTAATGTAGGTATAACTACAAAGTGTAATATCTATATCGTTGAAATGGAGAAAAATACAGGATTTAATAAACTATTATTTTACAGGGTGTCCCACATCTAAAAATTACACCAGAAAATAAAACCAAATATTCAATGTGATTTGCAAGAGTTATTTCTTATGGAAAGTTACAAATACCATGATAATATTGGCAAGTTACAACATAATATAGACAAATTATATATCATCGAAAAGGTAATTTTATGCGTATTCCAAAAATGTAAAAATTTACAGGGTGTCCCATTTAAAAAAGATGAAGTTTGTGTCATATCTCTCAAGCGGTACCTCGGAAAAAAAGATCCAGTACGCCAATGAAATCTACGTAAAAAACTGCGTCAGATACAATTTTCACGTTTTTGATATCTTTTTTTATACGCTAGATAATGACTACCCTCGAAAAGTGAACATTTCAAGTTTCACCCTGTATCTCCAAAACGAAACAAGATAGAGACCTGCGGTTTGCGGCATTCGATTCGTTATGAAAAATTGGCTTGGGAATGTGGAATCAAAAAAAATCTACCTCTACGAGTTTAGCAGATAACCCCAATTCCCATCTTCAATGGGACACCCTGTACAATATCTACATGTTTTGGAATATATAGGTATTTTCGATTACCCTACGGCGTCTCCTGTGCTCCAGAGATGTTCCAGATATATATGTACGAACTTTTATTTAGATGGTCTTCCTGGTGTACTGGCGTATTTTGACATTTTAGTATTTGGTAAAACAGTAGAAGAACATAACAAATGTCTCAATGCTCTACTTGAAAAAATTAAAAGCAGTGGCTTAACTTTAAATCGGGAAAAGTATGTTTCTTGTACAGTGTGTAGTGTGTCCCATTTTGGTTGTTCATAAGGGATAACTCGGTTGCTATTGGAGTTAGGAGGATGCGGTTCCCACGAACGTTGGCTACTTTCTTGTCAAACGAAAGATGGCGCCAACAGAATTGTCACCGCTTTTTTGGTTTTTCAGATACAAGGTGTTTTTGAAAAAGTTGCATTTTGGGACACCCCTTGTATCTCGGTTCTCTCATAGGTGATCGAAAAGGTGACAACGGTTTTTTATAGATATTTTTACGTATCTTTCAGTGGCGTACTTAGTCAGTTTTTGTCTAGAAGTGATAGTTTTCAAATTATGAACCAAATATACGTTTTTTCAAATGAGATACCCTGTATATTAATAGCTCATTGGATAGCTCTGCTTTTGCTGATTTCAATGATGAGTAGATGAGTTCGATAGGTTTATTTCTATCATGTCCAGTAGCGCAACCAGAGGTCAGGCCACCCCTCCAAAACTGTATTTTTACGTATATAAAATGTAGCAACATCAAGGCGTGGCACCCTGACACCTACTTTTTTTTTAAAGATTTTTAGTCACAAGCCACAACCTATGTAGGGCCCCCCAAACATATTTTCTGGGTGCGCCACTGATCATGTCTGTTTTTGTCATAAGAAACAATGTATCAGAAAAGGACTTTGCATTTGTAAGGAAAATGGGAAAGGTCTCTTTCTAACACATTGTTTCTTATGACAAAAAGAGAAAAAAATAGTTGCTCGAAACATGTTAGAGATAAACCCATCGAATTTTTTATCACTGAAATCAGCAAAAGCAGAGCTATCCAATGAGTTTATAATATATAGGGTATCTCATTTGAAAAAACGTATGTTTGGTTCATAATTTGAAAAATATCAATTCTAGAGAAAAACTGACTACGCCACTGGAAGCTGCGAGAAAATATCTATAAGAATCTGTTGTCACTTTTTCGATCACTTATGAGAGAACCGAGATACAAGGCAAGGGGCTCGGCAAGGGGTATCCCAAAATGCAACTTTTTCAAAAACACCTTGTATCTGAAAAACAAAAAGATTAATGACAATTCTGCTGGCGCCATCTTTCATTTGACAAAAAAGTAGCCAACGTTCGCGGAAACCGCATCCTTCTAACTCCAATAGCAACCGAGTTATCCCTTATGGTGACAACCAAAATGGGTCACACTGTATAAATAAAGTCAAGTTTCTTGGACACCTTATTAGTGACTGTGGAGTTGCTCCTGATGAGAGTAAAACTAAAGATATTCGTGAAATGTGTCCCCCAAAATCAAAAAAAGAACTACAACGGTTTTTAGGCATCTTTCGAAATTTCTGGCTAACCTCTCAAACCAAACAAGTACCCTTCGAAGGCTTCTCAGTGATAAAAATGAATGGTCTTGGACTGTGAACGAAGAAAACTGTTTCAATCAGATTAAGGACTTGGAGTCAAAAGCTACTACATTATCTTTCGTTGATCCGTCTGAAGAAGTTACATTGTCAGTAGATGCTAGCCCCTAAGGACTTGGTACTGTCATTATGCAATAAAATCGTCCAATTGAGTTTGCCAGTGCCTCATTATCTGCAAGTCAGCAGCACTATAATCACATCGAGAAGAAACTTCTGGCTTCAGTTTTCGGTTGTGAGGGATTTAATTTTTCGCTACAATTTTGTATAAAACTTTGTTCCTGGTAAAAATAATACCGTTCCGGACAGCCTTAGTCGGGATCCAGTTAAAGATGTGATAAATACTGAGTATTAAAACTCGAATTTCTAGTGTTTTCAGTTATAGCTACCAGACCGGAAAATGAGAAACGCTTGCAAGACGCTATAAGCAATGACGAAGTGTTACAAAAAGTCAAATTCTTTGTGTTGCATGGCTGGCCTCAGCAGAAAAACAACCTTACAAATGAACTTAATTTACCCTGTATTTCATTCAACTAAAAGGAATTTCGCAACACTGTGAACGAGTCTTGAATGGACAACTTGTTCTAATTTAACCAACCTTGTAGCTCTTGTCCTTTTGGATATGGCAATAGTGGTATCACTTAAAATATACACCCTGTATAGTGACTTTTTTTGATAGAATTTTTACAATTTTTAAAGCAAAAGACGAGGTCTCCCACCAGGAACCAAATCGATTTATTTGGAAAGAGGGGTCAAGTGATAGGTCATTAGATAACTATTTTTATGCACTTTAGTTTAAAAGTACCCTTTTAATCCCTGTATCAAGGGGATTAAAAGACCCACTTTTAATCCCCGGGATTAAATTTCACTTTATTTCCTGGAGATTAAATTTTTACTTTATTTCCCGGGGACCAGTGCATGAAATAGTGTATACACCTCAGGACTAAAGGGTTTTTTAATCCCTTGACAAAACTTTTTGTCTCGGGATTAAAAGTACCACTTTAGTCCCTAGATGTATAATGTACTATTATTAAGATTATTATATCCCCAAAGTTTTAAGTTGCTACTATTCACCTGCCGCAATAGCGGCTTATCAAGATTATGTGGTTTCTACCTCATAAAAACAAAACAACAGATTTTAAGTGATAAACATGAACCATTTTAAACTGAAAATACTTACTAATGAAATTACAATGTTATTTTATTACTATGAATAGGGATAGGTACTGTTAAAAAATCTGTCGTTTTGTTATTATGAGGTAAAGATCATACAATTTAGATAGGTACTTGAAAAAAAGAATTTCTGTCAACTTTGACAAGCTGCCATTACAGCAGGGTGAATAATAACAACTTAAAACTTCGAGGATTAATAAAAATATCTATCAAATGACGGAACCCTTGACTCCCTCTCCATTTGAAATTTTGGGGGTACCTGTCACCCCCACTCAAGGGTTGACAGGTAGGGTGTGAAAATACCAATAAAATGTGTCCCCCAAAAAACAAAAATTCATGTGTCCGAGTGATTTTTGATTTATCCCCTAACACCTTAAAAAACTTGGGTGGGAAGTTTTTCGTGCTCCACCCTGTATATTTTTGGAATCAAGAAATTGTGCTCTTCCAGAATATGGGACGAAATATACGCCAGCTCCCAAAAGTTCAGCTGAAACTGAAATTTTTTTGTATTTACACTTTTCATCTACCTGTATTTTTTTAAATTTTTTTGAAAATTAAAACAATAATACTAATGGCCGTTTCCACCAACAATTTTAGGGGAGCCTTAACGATAAGTATGCATAGAAATGACATTTTTACATGGAGAAATGTCAGTCTAGGGAATACTTATCGTTAAGGCTCCCCTAAATAGTTGGTGGAAATGGCCATAAAAGTTCTCACCTGTGCATCTTCTCCGTTATCAATCTGATTATATCTGGCGATGTCTTTGTACAGAGTGCGCAATAAGATCATTGCAACCATACCAGATAGGAAAAGAACAATAACCAGTGAGTTCAAAATGCTGAACCATTGGATGTTGGTGTAAGGCATGGATTCCAGAATATAGTCCCATCTCGACGACCATTTCACCATATTATTTTGAATAAAAGTCACCGAGTAGGTGTAAGAGATTTCAAATTTTTCATCTTTTTGCAACGGGTTTGTGGGGAAACGAAGGGGTTCGGTGTTTTGAGTGTTGCATTGTCCACTGGAAATAAAAAGCATCTAGATGAGCTACAAAGTAAAGTTCACAGCAGTTTAAAGACATGCTTTTTGTAATAAATAGCAAGCCTAGCTAAAGGTTTTACAGTTTTTACGGTTTGGCAGGAATTATTTATGTCATAGTGAGACTATTTTTAAGGATAATTTTAATGTGGTAGATAGCACGCAATTGAAAGAGCAGCAAATATTACACTTGCAGCATCTACCTACAACTTAGAAGAGCAGTCTTCAAGAATGTAAAACCAGACTGCCAGTTATCTTTTGGAAAAAATCTTGTGTCTTCCACCATCTTATTTTTACAATTAAATGTTTTCTTATCTCTAAACAAATATTGAATTGCCTTAGATAACAGAACAAATTAAATCCAATAGGTAAATTTTAGCCATCCAAAGACAATTAAAACTATTATAATCTTGATACTTGTGTACACTTACTTATGCTTTATGCTTCTTGGTACAACCTTAACAGAAATGATCCTACCCCCGTTGCTACCAAACTGAGTGCCCCATTCCTCCTTAGCCCCTGAATGATAAGTTATAATTAAATCAACATGATTGAATATATAAAATCCATCTTGCTGTTCAATTTCAGGAACACAATTGGTTCTTCTATTTCTTGTATAACACCCCATTTGGAATCCCGTGTTGCAATAAACCCTGTTGTCTTTTGTGTCGAAGCAACTTGTTACAGGCATATTGTCAACAATCCAATGGTGTTTGTAGTTAAGGCTAATGCCTTTTCGTAATGTGGCCAAAAGCAAATTGTCTTCTTTTCTGTTGCCATCGTAAGTTTTTTTGCAAACTTCTACACAAGACATGTTTTTCATAAACTCGATTTTGTAGGGCGATGGTCTGATTCTTTCCCCAAGAACTACTTGGCCTAAGTTTTCTACAGGGGATTTTTCATCGTCGGCCAGGCAAAAGTCAAAGTGGTTGTATTCATAAGGCATTACAGATTCTTCAGTGTTTAGACGGTTCACGTAGAGTTTTACTTCTGACTGTAAAGGAAATCCTTATTGCAATCAACTGCATTTTAAGTGTTTTGGGGTACTTACTTTGCATGATATTTGTTCTTCTTCCTTTTTACAAAAATTCACAGGAGCCAATCCCGGTAAATAAAAACACTCGACACAAATAAAATCAATGAGAAATATACCTATGATTTTAGCACCCCGCTTCATTGTAAATTAATTATTTCTCATCTACATATACCAGAATTACTTTTAAACGTGGAAAAGAGGAGATTAGTGAAGCTGTATTGAGAAATGCCAACGCGAATTTTTTTTGAAAACGTCACCACCTTTCCATAAATTTTGCCGAATTAAATGGTGTCTTTCTGTTTGATCAACTGGGGAAACTGTGTAACTTAATGGATAATTAGAACATATAAAAAATGAACTGTAAGGGTAATTATAAAAGGTACTATTCAATTAAATTGGTATGAAAAAAAAATTGTTTTTTACAGAAACAGGGTCATTTTGTCAATTGCGTCGGAATACACAAACATTGAACCTCCCTTCCTCTTCCATGACAATAGGTAAAAAAAAAGAAGACAAGGAAAAAGAAGAAGAAAAGCGTAGCAGCCGGGCCGGGGTGCGTTCCAAGGCCAACTCAAGTCAACTTAACTGACTCCTTAGCACTTGCTATCGCCAATCGATTCTTGTTTGTTTGGACTTTTTATTAAATTAAAAAATTAATTTTACTTTATTTTCTCATGTTCAGAAGAAGCGGGATTAGCGGGAAGAAGCAAAGTAAATTTAAATCGTCACAAATAAATAGCACCACGCACCATCCGCCTCTCGAGTAGGTAAGCAGAGCCGCTTTCGGGTGCAGAGTGCGAAGCTCCTAGAACACTTCACACCTGAGGCCTTATTCTTGACTTTCTCTGGAGAGAAAATTTGACTGTGTTGACTATTAAACAGTGCATTAACCAATGAACTATAGCTAAAAACTGGAATGCGCTCACATTGCCATATCTGCCAGAAAAATGAAGCCATGAAAGACAGATGCCACAAGGGGGAATGTTGTTTTTTTCTGTTGCTCGCTGACATATGACGTTTTCGAAAGTTTTGTCATATTTCCCTTCACAGGTTTCATCAATTTGAATACGTGTTGGAAGCAATTTTCGCCATTTAAAATAATGAGTGCGACAAAAACAGGTATCCCCTCCGCAGCAGCCGCACTAGGCTTCACGTTCGTCCTTATGTGTTAGCATTCCAGTTTTTGGTTATAGTTCATTGGCATTAACTGTTAACAATGTCAAATTTTCTACCTAGGTAAAGTCAAGAATAATGCCACTGCTGTCATATTCCATGCGTTTTGCACTCGAACGCTTGAAGCCGAACAGTTGTATTCCTTTCAAGAGCTTGAAACACTAGAGCTACTCGCTCCGGTGTTAGTCGACCCCGATTTCAAAGGAACAGGAGTCCGTTCAAGGACGACAATGCTAATGCCAAAACGTACTTTTCCCCTTCTACCGGCGATGCCAAATCTGGTGTGAATTTGCTGGAAGGCCAAATATCGTTTTTCAATTCTCATGACACTTGCCATCAAACAAAAGCCGCTTTCCGCTTTCCAGCTGACTTTGTGTTTGTGCTTCAAGCACGGTGCAGCACAGTGTTCTGCGTTTGAAACGCAGAATTTAGTAGCTTGAAGCATTTGCGCTCACAAGCTCGATTGCGTGCCTTAAATTTATTATTTTCAGATCGTCAGCGTTAGTATTATCTATTCACAACTTTCAGTTCCGTTCTAGAAACTTTTTGTATTGTATTATTTATGTGTTGTTATTTGTGCCAAAAGTGACAGACCCCACTTATCCAATCAAAATTCGTATAACCATTTCTAGACTCAGTTGAAAGCACCTCCAAAAGTACTTTACCGCGGCCGATTTTGAACGTGTAAAGCCAACCGTTTTTCGCACGCTGGAGCCGAACTTGAACGCAATATGTCAATTTTGGCTTGGCTTTAGCCGTTTTTGAACGCAGCCCAGATGCGCTGGCTTTCATGCATTTAAGGCGATTTTCAGCCTGGAATGATTATTATTTGGTTATAACCAATGCATTTCCGCCGTCGCGGTTTTAACCAAAGTAGGGGAAGTTGTGATGTCACATATCAGCTGATTTGCTTTTGGTATTTACCACTTATAACCGATTATAACCCAGCTTTGGACTTGGGTTAATCTTTTGGTTACAGCTTTTTGATGTTATTGTTATTATTTTGGGAATTGATATTGGTATTTTTGTGATTTTGCAGTTGTGTTGTGGCCTAGCACAATGGAAGAAGTATACACTCACTCACTCACTGCAACTCGCCATGTTTAGATCGAGGTTTAGATCATCCCCAGAGAAAATCTGTTCGATAAACGAGACTAACGAGAGATTCCGCTCCATTTTTTGTACCTAAACAACAAACCATTGTTGAAACGAAAAAACAAATAGGAATGATAAACATAATCCTACACTGCTATAACCAAATCATTTCAGCGGTCAGTTCCTTGGGTTATGATTCTTGAGTGGTGGGGGGCTGTGACGTCACACCTGGCTGTCAAAGTTGTCAACCAAAATAATAACCACGGTATTTACCGATAAATAATCATTCCAGGCTGAAAATCGCCCTTGGTTTGAGTCGGGCTTGAGCTCTCAGGTGCAACAAACACTTCTCGAAAGGAATAAGCGCGTAACGCCCCGGAGCTCTTCCTAGGTGTGAAAGGAATACAACTATTGGGAGTAACTCAAGAGCACTCAAAGGGTGATACAGGAGGCTGTGGTGATACCCGAAAGCAGCTTTGGCCTATTCCAGCTCGCTCAGCTATAAGCTACCATGACGTCATGTGAGAAATGGGCTATAACCAAGGTTGTTTGAGAGGCAGGTTGCCTGATAACTTTTATGACATTTGGATGCATAAATCTTCATTCTTCCTGATGACGTCATCTGTTTACCATTATCAGACAACCTATTAACCAGGCGCGGCTCGTGAGTTTTTTTACAGGTGGGTCAAATTAAGAGGGACAGCGCCGCAGGCTAAAATAGCGCCTTAGGCGAAACATTTTTGGTATTGAACTAAATTTTTTGGCTTTAGTTTTTGTCTTTTTGTAGGAATTTAAATTTGAATATTTGAATTTCGCGCTCATTTATGGTAATTTTGAAATTTGACAATCGATGACGTAGATGTTGGGTTAGTTAGCGGAGGAGAGGTGTAATATCCTTGCTCCTAATTTCAGGTTATGTCTTTATGTCTTACGTCAAGTAGAAAACAACAAGGTTAGAAACCTTTTTAGAATAGGGCATGTCCATGTGACTTCACTAATGAGTTTTGACAGTCGCCCTGAGGTAAAACCAATGAACTATAACAAAAAACTGCAATGCGAACACATGAGGACGAACGTGAAGCCTAGTGCGGCTGCTGCGGAGGGGCACTGTTTTTGTTGCACTCATTATGTTAAATGGCGAAAATTGCTTCCAACACGTATTCCAATTGATGAAACCTGTGAAGGGAAATATGACAAAACTTTCGAAAACGTCATATGTCAGCGAGCAACAGAAGAAAACAACATTCCCCCTTGTGGCCTCTGTCTTTCATGGCTTCAATTTTTTGGCAGATATGGCAATGTGTGCGCATTCCAGTTTTTAGCTATAGTTCATTGGGTGAAACCATAGACAATAAAAAATAAAAAGACCTTCAAAAGTATAGCCGAAATGGGTTATACTATTACTGCGCATCCGGTTGCGCATAGCGCATTGCGGAATTTTTGGAAAGCTAGAGACATACGAAAGATCAGTCCGATCATTCGATTCTGTTTCATCTTTCTCTGTCATATCAATTCACAAGACAAGGGCACCGTATGAGTTACAGAGCTTTCCTAGCTGTTTTGTAGAAACCTATCAAACATCCATAACTATATAGTTGGGGAGCTGGCGTCAAAAACATGCAAGAGTTTTCGCAAGGCGGATATTTTCAAAATAGGTCGTACTTAAGTGCTAGAATGCTAGTGTACAGTCAGCACTCACAGTTCCGGGACAGCTGGCTCTGGGACGCGGGCAAAGTTGTAATTTTAAGAAGCATCTAAACTGTTTTCTCAAAGCTCAAAATGTATGTTCGTTGCAAAAAGGGGGTCAGACGTCCTCAAAGTTTTTATTTTATGGCATTTTCTTCGGTTTCCTGTCAAAATATATTTTTGCAGGTATTTGACAAATATATTTGAAGAAAATGCCATAAAATAAAAACTTTGAGGACGTCTGACCCCCTTTTTGCAACGAACTAGACGTCTGACGATTTATATACGCTATCTGTGACCTTCAAACAGATAATGTGCAAAATTTCTATAAATTTTGAGCTTTGAGAAAACAGTTTAGATGCTTCTTAAAATTACAACTTTGCCCGCGTCCCAGAGCCAGCTGTCCCGGAACTGTGAGTGCTGACTGTACACGAGAATTCTAGCACTAAAGTACGACCTATTTTGAAAATATCCGCCTTGCGAAAACTCTTGCATGTTTTTGACGCCACCTCCTGGACTAATAGAAACTGTGACCGAGAAAACAAATAAGTAACCTTAAAATAACGACATTTCCGTGTTGAAATTTGTCATTTTTAACCGATTGGGCGGTCGTCTAAGAAGACTCGAACTCACAAAATCTAAAGAACAAGAAGAAGAAATTGTTATTTTTATTAAGGCACTCGTTATCGCGTACCTATAATATTATGTACAACTAGGATAAACTGAACCAGTAAGTATACATGTTAGTTTTGTGATATACGGCATATTTTTTTACTGTTTAAGGAGACCTCAGTCAGAAGAGATAAAATGTAGATGTTAGGCCTTGGCCAGCTTAGCTTGTTCATACATTAAAGCATGTATAAGGGATGTAATAACTGTGTTTGTAAACTCTTTAGGTATTTGACCTATCTAGATATAATATATATTTTTTCTAGTACAATTTTAGTGTTTATTTTGCTTTTTTTTTTCAATCTACATCAAAAAATGGCACAAAACTTTATGGAGTACCACATCATTTTTCTCATTCGGATTTAAGAAAAAAAGATGTGGAACAACATAAGTAAGTTTTTTGTGCAATCAACTCAAGTCAAATTTCAAAATTCCCGCCATTTCAGTATTTGTTCCGGCTGCCACTATTGACGCCACCGTCGCTGTGACGTCAGCGTTATACAAACTTTCATGTTATCAATCAGGTACTCTTACCTTGGTTTATTATATTTCTCTATGGGTAAAACCATTAAAACACATCATTATTTACATTGGTGTAGATTAGGCCGGTTATGTTTTATGCGGTTTTCACAGCTTTTTCACGAGTTTTTGTGTTATTTTGTTTTAAAAAAGTTAAAGTAAAGTGTTTATGTTCCAGTCTATGTAGTCTTTATCCAGAAGTTTGCTAGGTTTTTCTATATGGCAGTGGATAGAGGTCCGAAAATTCGGATCCCTAGTGTTCATACTAAAGATCCGATAATTTTCGGATTTTCAATTTGTATAACAGGGTGTCCCACGGTGGAT